GCTCGAATTTTCCAAAAAATATGCTGAAACCATGGCTGTGTGACCCCAAGGTCTCATAGATGACAGAATGTAGGTTTTTTTTGGAAAATTCGAGCCTGCTCGAGTTGTGGTGACCTGGTGCCTGGAGATTTTTCGGAAAATTCGAGCCGGCTCGAGTTTTCCCGAAATCTCTTGATATTCTGACTGCGGTAATTGATACAATTAGTAGCATTAGATACCAATTCTATTTCAATTGGTAAGTTTCCCATATTTTTTGACGGCAAATATCTAACTTGTGAGAAGAGGCCACGCAATGGTTTAAATCCAACAATCGTTTTGGTCTTAAACCCTTGACAATTAACATAAGAACTACCTTTGTGTCAAAGAAAACTTAAACTATCAATGAGGATATCTGCGGGACTAAAAGTTTCCATGATATATAAATAGCATAGATAATTTGATTACATATACATACCTTCAACTTGTATTCAATCAAGTAATTCAAAACTATATGAAGTGTCTTACTATTATTCTTCTTCCTACCTTTCACCTGCTTAACTGCTTCATCTACTTAATTATTCTCAACTAACTTTCTTATCTTTTCGTAAGCATGTTGTTTAAATTGCTTCTCTATCTTCTATGTCTCTATTTGTTCGTATGTTGTTGCTTTCTTATGAAATGATTATGGCATCAAACTGTTGTTAAAAACTCTTCTTCGGCTATAGGTAGATGTCCTGCTTTGTTTTTAATATTGCCTATATCTTCATAAGGATGTTTTTGTAGATGGTCCAATGTTGATTTCTTTGATGTTATACTTCCTTTTTCAAACATACTAACGGGTTCTTCTACTTTCCGTATTCATATGTTTTGTCCCAGTGTCTTCTGGTCGTTGTCCTGATACATAAGGAGAACCATAGCTACGACTTCTGAATACATTCCCATAATCATTGTTTATTTGTTGTCCCGATGCTGAACCTAAACTGTGACTTACAATACCAGAAATTCCAGTTTCTTCTTTTCTTTAACCGTCTATTTCAATAAAACCATCTTGAATGAACTTATCTACATCTTTATAACACTGAGTCAGTTGCGTCTTATATAAAGGAAGGTTTCAATCACCATAAACATCTCTACAGCTTTTAGTCCCAGCAATGTATAAAATAGAACCATTTTTGATATATCCCGTCAGGATTCTCATACGCTAATTTAAGTCCTTGCGTGTCCGTTAAGAATGTCTCTGTCTTTGCGAATTCGTCTCTAACTTCATTATGCAGTCTGCTTCTTGTGTTAGGTGCTTTATTTGAAACCCCTTCATCTCTTCTTTTATGTTCATGCATTATACAATGGTTTATAAGGTAATATTTATCTAATCAATGAGTATTGTTGAAGTTCAAGAAGGTGTATATTGGAAGCTACTATAGAGTGAATAACAGATATTAGCAAACCACACAAAACCAAATCCAGAAACGGATTCTGTTTGTAGATTTCTGTTGTTTAAAAGTGTAGATAATCAATAGCAAGTTGTAGCTTCAGACATGGCAAGACACGAAAGTATCGTAAATACCGGTGTTTTTTCACTTCAACCATATGTGCAAATAAGCACAGGTGCAGAAGGACAAGCAAGAAAAGGACACATATGGATCATGGGGGGGGGGTGTGACCATATATATATATATGTATATATGTATATTCATAATCATACCCATATACTGTGAGTTTATGTGTATATATATATATGTATATAGAGAGATAGATAGATAGCTATGTCCAAGGGTTTTTTCAAGACATTAGGGCTTGAAGGGTTTGGGGTTGAGGGTTTCGGGCTTCAGGGTTCAAGGCTTTTAGGGCTTCAAAGGGTTGGGGCTGGTCAGCTGAGGTTTACGGAGTCAGGATACAGCCCGAAAATACCTCTAGACCCTTCAGACCCTGAACGCTTTAATTTTGCATACTCAAACAGGTCTCGGTTTTGGCTTCAGGCTTTGAACCTTCTAGGACCTATAACCTAGTTAATGTTGAAGTGCATGGAGGGGTGCTTTGTGAGACTTCCTGGCAGTTCAGGGATGCTCTCGGAGGTTGCAGATGCAGAACGACCTGGTGAAGCATTCACTGCCATACAATGCTATCAAACCCTCCACCAACCCTAAGCCCTAAAAACCCTAAAGCCTTACAGCCGAAAACCCTAAAAACCCTAAAACCCTAAAACCCTCAAACCCTCAAACCCTCAAACCCTAAGGCCCTAAAGCCCTAAAACCCTAAAACCCTAAACCCTAAAACCCCAAACGCTGCTATCTTCACGCGAATTCTTGCAGTCGCTCCCCACCCTGAACCCTTCATAACGTCTTGGACCTCCCAGTCCCTAAAATCTCAAGAGCTGCAAGCCTGGGGGGGGGGGGGGGGGGGGTGGTTGGTTGGAGTTTAGGGTTGAGGGGGTTCAGGGTTTCGGGTTTCGGGTTCAGGGTTTAGGGTTTTGGGCTAAGTTAGGGTTCTAAAACTTAGTGCCCCCTTTCAGGTTAAGGATGCCAAAAGGCCACCCCCGGCTATGGGACCCGTGCAAGTTGAGAGTCTTAGGGCCTTAGGGATCGATCTTTTCATCTGAAAGGTGTTTCTGAAGCCTCGAAAGCGGTGATGTAAGAACTCACAGTCCGAACACAGGGTGAGAGGCCAACGAGACTTCGCCGTCAATGTGTGCTTAGGTGTGACAACCCAAGTGCGCAGAGAGATGCAGAGAAGCGCGTTCTGACAAATGAAGTGTTGTGTTCATGTTGTCCTTTAGGAAAACAAAGCTTGACAGTCGGACAAAAGCAAGGGGAACGCAGGGAACCGAACATGTCCACACCCCAAGCATTTGCAAAGCAACCCTTAAACCATAAAACAAAAGAAACGTTGTAGCTCGCCTTACAAGTACCTTTTAATTCGGGGCTTCGTTGTCATTTTGCAGACTTGCCTAGGCAAACCCCAGTCCCCTAAACCCTAAACCCCAAACCCCAAACCGCAATTCCTAGACCCTAAACCCTAAACCCTAAACCCTAAACCCTAAACCCTAAACCCTAAACCCTAAACCCTGAGCCCAGAAAGGTTCGAGCCTGGCATCGGCCGGGACTTAGAGGCCAGATGGTCGCGCCTGCACTTCGCCGACTCGTTAGCTTATGAGGGTTTAGGGTTTTGGGTTTTGGGTTTAGGGTTTAGGGTTTAGGGTTCATATGGTTTAGGATTCTGGGTTTAGGGCTTAGGATGTAGGTTTGGGGTTTTGGGTTTTGGGTGTCGGGTTTAAGGGACTTAGACCTTAGGCTTTGAGGGTCTTGAGGTTTTATAGGCTTAGGCTTTGAGGGTTTTGAGGGCGTTTTGTTCCCGCAAGGGTTTGAAGGGTTTGAGGGTTTTAAGGGCTTTGAGGGCCTAAGGGTGTTAAGGCTTTTAAGGGTCATTTTAAGGGTTATCCAGGGTTTGGGATTTGAAGGTTTTCAGGGCTTGAAGGGCTTGAAGGGTTCAGGGCTTGAGGATGTTAAGGTTTTTGAGTGTTCTTAAGGGTTTGAAGGGCTCTCAGGGTTTTAAGGTTTTTCAGGGCTTAGGGTTTGAAGGGTTTGAAGCTTAGGGTTTAGGGTCTATAGTTGTATAGGGCTTTTTGTTTAGGGGGACTTCTCCAGATGAGTAGCAGTTGGAAGGTTCGAAGGGTTTAGGAGGCTTTTGGCATACGTAGTGACGTAGTGGTGGACTTATTGTTTTTTGGCTGCGGGCTGTGGGCTTTCGGCCTCCAGAGTTTAGGGCGTAGGCCGCGCATTGTAGCGCTCAAACTGCACGGCTTACAAAGGGGTTTACCCAGGTAAGTGGGGAGCTACTTGTCGAAGTGCCCAGGTGCCAATTTATGTTGAAAGCCGGCTGGTCCTAGAGCCGGGCACTCCAAAACCCTGGGCATTCTGCACCCTAGAAACCCTAAATCCCTAGGCTCACAAACCCTGAAACCCGAACACTCCAGTTCGGTTTCTGAGCAGATCACCCAGCGCAGGCTTTCCACCAGAAGATCAAAGAGCGCTTCTGCAACGCCAAGAACATGATGCTGAAGGTCTCGGCGGTCAATGTTGGAGACCCGAAGCCCTAAACCCTAAACCCTAAAGCCCCCCCCCCCCCGCCCGGGGGGGGGCGAGGGGGGCGGGCGGGGGGGGTTAAGGATGCGGGTGTAGGGTCTCCGAATCTGTTGATGGGCTTGGTCCCGGTGCAGCAATCGGTTAAAGCCTGTTTTTTCAACGGCCAAATGCCCTAGCCTTCTTTGCCGTTCGAGGACGAGGGGATGATGGATATGAAGCCCTAAGCCCTAAGCCCTAAACCCGAAACCTTAAACCCTAAACCCTAAACCCTAAACCCCACACCCTAAACCCTTTTTGTCAAGCAGAACGCCTATTGAACCAAAGGGCATAGGATGGTCTCAGCGATACGGTCAGCACAAAGGGCCTATACAACTGCCACAAACTTTCGCAACACTCATGTTCTTACAAAGGGCCTATACAACTGCCAAAAACTTTCGCAACACACATGTTCTTGGTAGCCCGGTGGTAGTTTTTGTTTAAAACATTTTTCTTCTGGTTCAAGGTGCCTTTATAGAGTAACCAACCCCAAAAAGGGTGCCCCCCCTTATTGATAATATGGTTCCTGGGCTACTAAGTGTTCGAATCCTGCCTGAATAGAACGGCATTAGCCTCAAACTGCCCATGCTCCCATCAAAAGAGGCCCCTATAGTGGTTTAGGGTCTAGGGTCTAGGGTTTAGGGTCTAGGGTTTAGGGTTTAGGGTTTAGGGTATTTAAAGACTTTTCTGGGCTCTGGGCTTCAAGGGACTATGGGGTTGAAATGCTTGCGGGCCTTATGAGCTTAAGGCTGTACAGGGCTGAGGATGTAAAGGGATGTGGAGACTTGTCAAACGTTTTCCGGGCTCAAGGGCCTACCGGGGGAGTGGGAAAAGGGGGGAAAAAAACAACATCTTGAAAACCTCCCCAAAACTGCAAAACTTGGCCCTGGTGGTCGACCTGCTCAGATGCGTGACGACGGCGCTTCCCTGGACAAGAAGCGGCGCCTAGAGAAGATTTGGGGCTTTCCCGAGGTTCGAAGATTAACGTACATAGGTTGGAGCTTGCTTTGGTTTGGATTATAGTGTATACAGGGGGTACCCTATTTAGGGACCTACTCATGAGTTTTGAGGGTTTATGGGTTTAGGGCAGGGCGACATACAACGTCTAGGTTGTCGGGTTTCGGGTCTCGGTATAGGTAGCTGCTGCACCGAAGTCCCTTAGCCAAAGACACCAAAAGCCCCGCAAGGGGGGACCCGAATTCAGAACAAAAATCACCGGTTGACTTGGGGTTTAGGTTCTGTTGCAAGCCCTCAGCCCAAAACCCAACACCCTAAGTCCTAGGTTGTTAAGTTAAGTTCAAGGCTGCGGAGGTTCAGGCTTTAGTAATATCACAAACTTATATTAAATCTATCACATTCTTCATTGTAAATTACATACATGTACAGGACTTATATTATATCAATTATATTCTTCATTGTACGTGATATACATATGTATAGGACTGTTGGGGTTTAGTTTGGGCGTTGAGGTCTTAGGGCCTGTGGGCTCCGAGGGTCCAAAGCTTTGGGTTGACACCCTACGGAGCCTAATGGTCACGGTAGGGTTTAGGGTGTAGGGTTTAGGGTTTAGGGTTTAGGGTTTAGGGTTTAGGGTTTAGGGTTTAGGGTTTAGGGCTCTAAATTTTTGCTCGGCGCAAAACTGAAACCCGAAGACACCCGATCCCTGGCTACTGAGGGCGGCACAGGCAAGCAAGCCAACTCCTACCATTGAGGGCGGCACACTCTTTGGGGGTGCCCAAACAAACCAAGATGAACTTGTTCTCATGTTGTCCTCTTCTTCCTTGGATACGACCTCTTGAGCATTGAAAAAGCACGTATGCAAAGCCGTGCCGAGTGCTGTTTTGTGAACCCAACCAGCAGCAGCAGGCACTTGCTGAAGCGTCCCAGCAGCAACAGGCACTTGCTGAAGCGTCGGCTGTGAACCAGCACCTTGAGGAAGAGCCGTGATGAGCTTGATCGGTGCGTCAAAACCCTTTTTTGGGGTGCCTTAACTACTAGGGGCCGTAGTACAGTCCAACAAGGGGCCATCAGTTAGACAAGAAGTCACCAGATGTTCTGAAGCCAAAGTACCACCCTAAACCTTAAACCTTCAACCCTAACCCTAAGCCTTAAAGCCTGAACCCTAAACCCTAAACCCTAAACCCTAAGAGACTCTAATCCTGGACCTGCTCACACCTGAGAAGCCATGTGAGACGCGGGGCGCCGGGCCAAGAGGACCCAGGGTAGGCCCTTACTCCCTTTTTTAGGGTTTAGGATTTAGGATTTAGGGTTTAGGGTTTAGGCTTTTGGGTGTAGGGGTTTAGGGTTTAGGATTTAGGGTTGAGGCTTTAGGGTGTAGGGGTTTAGGATTTAGGGTTTAGGGTTTAGGGTTTAGGGGTAGCAAGGTCCCAGGGTAGGCCCTCCTTCCCTTTATTTGGGTCTCAGTTCACTGAGTAATAAAGCCCCCTTTAAACCGAAACAGGGCATCCTTTTTTCCGAGGTTCCCGTCTGTCAGCGTGTCTATAGGTTCCCTTATTATAAGCCCCGTTAAACCAGAACAGGGCACCTGCATCGTTCCCAGGTTACTCTTGGGTCTAGGTTTCTAAGGGTAGTTACATGGTCCCTTAATATGGTCCCTTGCCCTCTTGAGAGGGTTCTGAAGTACGGACTCTTGGGCTGTATAGGGCATATAAGGGGAGTATAGAGGGTCTTCTTTTAAGGGCCCATATGAAGGGACCATGTAACTACCCCAAGATGATTCCCTTTTTGTAGGGTCTCGGTTCCCTTATTATAAGCCCCTTTAAACTAAAAAAAAAGGCATCCTTTTCCCAAGTTCCTCTTGGGTCTAGGTTCTTGGAGCTCTGCTACGAGTGCAAGACCACGGGCAATGAGCAACACGGCTTTGGGACTTTGGTGTTGGGGGGGGGGGGGGGGGGTGGGGGGGGGGGTGGGGGGGGGGGGGGGGGGGGTGGGGGGGGGGGGGTGGGGGTGGGTGGGGGGGGGGTGGGGGGGGGGGGGGTGGGGGGGGGGGGGTGGGGGGGGGGGTGGGGGGGGGGGGGGTGGGGGGGGGGGTGCTTGAGCCTGGCATGCTGGCAGTTTTTGGGTTTAGGGTTTTTGGGGTTTAGGGTTTTTGGGGTTTAGGGTTTTTGGGGTTTAGGGTTTTGGGTTTAGGGTCTTGAGTCCCCTATGTACCACTGCACCCTTAATCAGGACCCCCCAACAGTGACCCCAATTTACAGAGTTCATGTCGGAAGTCATAGCTTGGGATGTTCCCCCTTATACTAACAGTCCTTAAGCAATAATTTTGATAGAGGGGGGGGGGGGTACTATAAACCTTTTTAAGGACTGTTAGTATAGGGGGGGAGCATCCGCACGTTCTTCTTGTATGGCTGATGCTAGCGCTTCAATGTCAGGAGTGCGGTTTTGGGCCCCGCCCGTGCCAGTGTACAAGCTGACATGCCCTCAACCCTAGGTAGGCCACAGGGGTATCTTACATCTTCCCTTGCTGGGTGTAAGCGCATCATGTTGCAGTAGACAACCTTTAACCTGTTTTGATGCATTGTAACCCCCATAAAATCCCAACGGTTGACCGTTCAGGGCCATCTTTGAAACCCCAACACCCTAAACTCTCCAAACCAAACAGCAAAGTTGTCAAACCAAAGGCCCAAACCCTAACCCAAAACCCTAAACCCTAAACCCTAAACCCTAAACCCTAAACCCTAGACCCTGAACCCTGAACCCTGAACCCTGAACCCTGAACCCTAAACCCTAAACCCTAAACCTTCCTCGCATGGCCCCTGAAGAGCTGCTTCTGCCAGGAATCGTCTCTTTGAGTACCTGGAGGAGCGGCCAGCGGCGACGCCAATCCATGCAGCAACTTCGGGTTTGGTTTAGGGTTTAGGGTTTTAGGGTTTAGGGTTTAGGGTTTAGGGTTTAGGGTTTAGGGTTTAGGGTTTAGGGTTTAAGATTTAGGTTTTTGGGGTTTAGGGTTTAGGGTTTAGGGTTCAGGGCTTCTAAAGGATTTAGGGCTTACAGTCCACTCCAGAAAGTTGGAACATGGTTTACGGATGATTAGAGCTGGCATTCCCTGTAGTATACGTTTTGTAGGGTTTCGATGGGGTTAAGTTTCAGGTTCTCTATCGGGTTTAGAGTTTAGGGTTCAGGGTTTCTAAAGGGTTTAAGGCTTAGGGTTATATAGAAATTTGAGGTTCAGGGTTGAGGAACGCCCCAGCACCCAAACGTCCGGGAAGCCCCGTCAAACACAAACATCAATCTTTGCACCAGGCGCTTCTCTGAGCCCTTGGTTGAGGGATTATCCCAAACCCTAAACCCTAAACCCTAAACCCCAAACCCCAAACCCTAAACCCTAAGCACAGTGGGAAGCCGTCATCTTCCACATAATGTTCTTCCCTGGGCTTTCTGCGTTTCAGGTGTAGGTATAGGGACTCAGCCTAAGGAAACCCTCGCATAGACTGGCAAAGCGATTCCGACAGGAAGACGGCCAGGTGGATTTCGAGACGATTGAGCAGAAGGCACTGCCCGCTCGCTTTGAAGTTGAATTCATGGCTTAATCGTCCGCAGACAAAACAACAAGCAACCGCAAGCTTGAAGCTTGCCAGCGCAAATGTCCACAAAAGCATGAACAAATCCTGAAGAATGCAACCTTGCAATCAACCATGGCAGTTTTGACCGTAGTACTCTTGAGTGCCAATTGGGATCATAGCAGACGTCGAAGACCGCTGACGCCTCACAGCCCCAGACGAGGCGAAGAGCAATGCCACAATAACCGTGCCCAATCATAATCCTGAACCCCCCCCGAAACCCTGAACCCTAAACCCTAAATAAACCCTAAACCCTAAACCCCAAACCCCAAACCCCAAACCCTAAACCCTAAACCCTAAACCCCCGCCACATCTGCGCAGCAAGTCAGGCAGGCGCCGAAGTCAAGGAGCTCCTCGCCGAGGAGGCGATGGCACTGGTTGTAGGGCCCTCTTTGTAGGGGCGGAGGGTTTAGGGTTTAGGGTTTAGGGTTTAGGGTTTAGGGTTTAGGGTTTAGGGTTTAGGGTTCAGGGTTTAGGGCCTCACAGGGTGTCTTAGTGGTTTAGGGTTTAGGGTTTAGGGTTTAGGGTTTAGGGTTTAGGGTTTAGGGTTTAGGGCCACCCAAAGAGCCCCATACGCCTTAATTCAGGAGTATCCCAGTCAGGATCCCTTTATCATTCCAGGCACCATTTCCTGAACTTAAGGTATTGGGCTCGCTGGGTAGTTATAAGTAGGGCTATAAGGGCCCTTAATCGGGTTATAACTCGTATTATTGAGGGGTTTTACGCTTTTCCGGTGTCTGGCTGTCATCTGAGGGAAGTTACATGGTCCCTTAACATGGTCCCCCGTTCTACAGGGTATATAAGGATTCCCCGGTAAATGGCCCATACAAAAGGACCATGCAATTACCCTGAGATGTAAAGGTGGGAGTCAAGGGTCCACACTCCTGCACCTCAAACCGACAGGGACATGCTCTCAGAAGCTACATCGCCCCGTAGCGAAGAGCGGAATCCCCAGCCCTAAGCCGGGCCTTACCCGGACCTTTCAGACAAACGCCAAGGAGGCCAAGCGCAAGCAGGAGGAGAGGTTGGCCGCGCGCTTGGCGAGCCGCGAAAAGAAGCTGCAGGAAGAGAAGGAGAAGAAGCAAAAGAAGAAGGCCTGCCTAGACCCCCGCAAGACTTCACCCAAAATGCCCCCATTCAGATGCACCTTGGCTTATTAAGGGAGTACTTGGGGTAACCTGCAGCGTATTCAGTGTCTACTCGCCATGAACCCTGAAGGTTCAACCAGGCCCAAACCCCCTAAACCCGTACACCCCTAAACCCCTCAACCCCTAAACCCCTAAAGCCCTTAGACCCTGAAGCCTAAACCCCTAAAACCCCTCAAGCCTGGAAGGCCCAACCCTGAACCAGGCCAAAGACGAAGACAGCGGGTCCGAGGGCAGCCCGAGCAACGGCGGCCAGTCGCCCAAAGGCAGGACGACGGGCTTAGGGTTCAGGGTTTAGGGTTTAGGGTTTAGGGTTTTCGTGTGCCTTCCATTTCTCATAAATAGTATCTTATGGCTGAGAGAAGGTTCTAGGTAGGCCCCTTGAGTTTTCAAGCCTTGCCTTTTCTTGGGCCTTGGGCCGAACCAGGGCTGAAACGGCAAAGACAGATGCTCTTAAGCCATATGAACCAGGGTTTATATTACTGTTTTTGGTGAGTGTATGTAAGGTTCCTTTTTTAATATTGGTGAGTGTATACCTTGGGTGTCCTTTTGGGGGTACAAGAAATGTAAACCCTAATTCCATAAGCACTAAACCCCTCGATCTTGAACTTCTTTAAAGCCGTAGAAGCCCTGATCCATGAAGGCCCCACCTAGGTTTAGGGTTTAGGGTTTAGGGTTTAGGGTTTAGGGTTTAGGGTTTAGGGTTTAGGGTTTAGGGTTTAGGGTTTAGGGTTTAGGCCCACATTCTACATCTCCCTCTATTGGGTTCAAGAGGCTCATAGTTAGGAAGATGTTTAGGGGTGCCTTTAAAACCCTAAACCCTAAACCCTAAACCCTAAACCCTAAACCCTAAACCCAAAGCCCTAAACCTAAGGGCCATCCTAGCTACAAAATTCTAACCTCCACAGCAGGCAGCGCGCCGAACAGCCGACTACCATCACCGGCGCCCTGGCTCAAACACGGGGCTTCAGTGGTTTAGTCCCTAAACCCTAAACCCTAAACCCTAAACCCTGAACCCTAAACCCTAAACCCTAAACCCTAAACCTAGTGTTTAGGGTGTGCCTGTAAGTCCGATTACTAGGATTCCTTGATGTGCAGTTTTTCCCATTTTGCTTGGAGAGATGCTCTTTTCCTCGGCACCCTGGCGTGTCGAAGCCGAAGCGGAATTTTGCTCTAGGCTTGACCGTACTCTTTGACAGCGAAGGAAGGAGCAGCAATGCCCCGGCCCCGTTTGTCCCCTGGAGAGTAGAGTGCGGCACCCTTGTTCAAGTGGTTATAACCAGGACCCCAAACCCCACGCCATAAAACCCTAAACCCTAAACCCTTCTCAGAACTCAACCCTCCGAAAAGGACCTTGTAATCTAGAGAGACCAAGTTGAGGAAAGGGAATCGTAAGTTGAAGGGCAAAGTGGGTTCTGGTTTGAGGAGGGGGCACCCTAAGCTCCTCATGCCCCCCACCCCCCTCCCTCGCGCCTTTAGGGTCTGTTTGGGGGTTTTGGGGTTTATCCCTACCGTAAACTCCAAAAAGTTGGAACATCCTCAAAAGGTATACTAAAGATAATCCCAGCTCGAAATGTCCTTAAACCATGTTCCAAGTTTCTGGAGCTTGCTGCAAACCCGAAGCCCTATCGCCTCCATAAGGCTCCAAACTGACAGTCCTGACGAGGCAGCTAATCTGAAAGCACTGCCAACACACAGTTTGTGGGCATAAAGTGAATCAGAATGGTATGTTGGGGTAGGTGCCTTTGTTGATGTAAAAAGCCTCTCATACATCACCATGAAGGGATTCTCAAAAAATATGGACAAAGGCTCTCCCTAAACCCCAAACCCCAAACCCCAAACCCTAAACCCTAAACCCTAAACCCCCAAACCCCCCAAACCCCTCGTAGCATTTCAAAGCGCCGCCCTTTAAGTGCCGCAAGGCCGGGAAGGCCCGATCGGACCGGAACTAAGGGCTTGGGGGGCATCGGGGTTTAGGGTTTGGGGTTTGGGGTTTAGGGTTTCGGGTTTAGGGTTTAGGGTTTAGGGTTGGGGTTTGGTCGGGATTTGTGGGGTTTCGGGTTTGGGCTTTATAGGGTTTAGGGCTTTGGGTTTGGGGTTCGGGGTTTAGCGTTTGGGGTTCCGGGGTGTGGGGTTAGGGTTCGCGGTGTGTGGTTTAGGGTTGGACGTTTGGCGCAGCCACGTTGCAAGAGGAATCTGACTAAGTTGTATGTAGGCACATGTTCATCAAGCTGCGATGCCTGGGCTCTTTGGGGGTAATGGTCTCAGCTAGGGCTCAGAGCTTCAAGCAGAGCCGAGGTGGAAGGGAGGTTCGGTCACTTCGACTCAGGATCTGAAGAGGAACCGAATCCGCAGCCATCAGTGGCAGTGCTCTACTTCAGCGAGGACGAGCGAAGACTCATCCGAGACAATGACCTCAACCGCGCGATGCAACAGGCGTTGTTCCTGCTGAAAATGCAGCCCAAGGACCAGCACGCAAGGCCCATCGGCGTCCTAAATGGCAGGTTCGTTGCTTATAGGTGCTGAGTCGGTAACATTGATCCTCTTGGGGTATGAACCGAAACCCTAAGCCCTAAAGCCTAAACCCTAAACCCTTCTTCTCCTAAGAGAACTCAGGCGGCAAGTCTGGGCTCCCTGTTCTCCTAGAAAGCCCGCATGAACCCTGATCCCTCAGGCCCTAAACCCCATAAGCCTAAACCCTAGACTCTCCAGACCCCATAACCCTAAAACCCTAAAGTGAGCGAAGTTCGCGATGTCCTCCTCTTATACCCCTATGACCCTATAACCGTAAAAACCCTAAAACCCTAAAGTTTCGAATCTCTTCCTCTTGAAACCCTAAACTCCCCAAACCCTATAACCCTATAACCCTGAAACTCTAAACCCTAAGACAGGTAAATCCTAGAAACCTAAACCCTAAAGCCTAAACCTTGGACCCTAAACCCTACAACCCTAAACCCTACATCCCTAAAGCCTAAACCCTAAAGTTTCGGGTTTTCCTCTTCTGTAACCCTACACCCTAAAGCCCTGAAGCCCTAAACCCTGAAACCCTAAACCCTAAGCCCTAAACCCTAAAGCCTAAAGCCCCAAGTTTCGGATTTTCTTCCTCTCCCGCCTTCCGGAGGTCCCTCGGCCGAAAGTGCAGTGGCCAGCAGGCAGGGGCCATCCGGGAAGCGCAGTCCCAACCGTGGCAATAGCAAGACCAGCTAGATGCAGCAAGCTTTGGTTAGAAGAGAAGGAAGGACGCTACCTGCAAAGAAGTAAGTTCCCAATCTTCTCCATCCAGGCTTTGGGCATCTCGCCTTGCAAATGAGACCGCGCCAGGCCTCGGGCATGTCGCGCTAAGCCGTTGACAGTTCTTATTATAAGGCGTCCCCGGCCCCTTTTTGCTAATGGGAACCCCAAAAAAGGGCCATAATTTTGGAGAACTGACCATATGCCCTCGGAGATCCCATGCTCCTAAACCCTAAACCCTAAACCCTAAACCCTAAACCCTAAACCCTAAACCAGCTTTGCCAGGTCAAGCTGACGAAGTCAAGCTCCCTGCCAAACGTCGCCCTGCGATGCCAATGGAATGCCGGGGGGCCCGGGCGGCCCGGAGTCGCCGTCGCCTTGTTTAGGGTTTATAGGGTATAGGGTATAGGGTTTAGGGTTTAGGGTTTAGGGTTTAGGGTTTAGGGTTTAGGGCTTACCTAAAGGCTCCTTAGTAGTAGCTTGTTTTTTTTTTTGGGGGGGGGGGGTAGTATTACTGGGGTTCCCTATAACTAAACGCCAAAAAGGGAACTGCTCCTTAGTAGTACCTTTTCGGTGGGTAGTATTACTGGGGTTCCCTCCCACTCAGCCCCAAAAAAAGAACTCCGTTAGAGCCTTCAGGTCAAGCCTAGTTCGAGCGTTAGGCTCTAGGTGAACCTTCCACCATGAGGAGCCCAATGCCGACATACCAATCCCCATAGTCCTTAGTCATGGACTAGATCTTCAAATCATACGCAGGGTCCAGCTAAGGGGTACTGGGCCCTCTGGGCAGGTGATGACATCGAACATGCTTTGGGGCCCAAAGCCATAGTTGAGGAACGACCTCCAAGTTGATGACGACTCGGATGAAAAAGCGTTGAAGGGATGAAGGTGTAGGGCATTCCCTCACGAATTAGAGTAAAAAAGCAGAATCCAGGGCGACGGCGATTCTTGCTATTCGGTTGGAAGAGGCTTTGGCCTCAAAAACCCTTGCAAACCCTGAACCCTTAACCCCTTGAACCCCAAAGCCCTGTGAGCCCAGCAAGCCCAGTAAATCCTATACCGCACCCCACCAGGATCGGCATCACGTCGTCCAAGCCTCGGCTCGAAACTGGTTGTTCTCTTCGTACGGATGTACGTACCTCATATATCCCCCCTCGCAGGAAAACCGGAAGAGAGCCCTGACGAATGTAGCCCGTGTAGGCATTATACAATGAGCCTTCCGTGTTCATAGTACCCGTCATGAGATTGCAATGTGACGTTGAGGGGCTAACATATCCCTTCATTCGATTCTAGATTCTAGGCATGTGAACCCCGAACCACAAAAGCTTTACGGGGACAACTCGACGGACGACTGTGTGCTGCAGGATGAAGCTTCAGTTTCTTGAGGCTTCCGTTTGTTGAGGTTATCAGGGCTTAGGAAGCCCTAAACCCTAAACGGTAAGGGCAGGGGGTGGGAGCTTTGGAGCCCAGGCGTCCTCTCAAGATTTTCGAGCTCAGGCGGAGCACCGGGGAAACCGCGACATGAATCTCATCCACACCCTTACGAGGTCGACACTCAGGCTTGGGGGGTTGAGGGTTCAGGCTTTAGGGTCTAGGGTTTAGGGGGCTCGACTATTGGGCCGCCCGGGGTTCGAATGGGTGCTAAAACCTTGGGCTCCTGTGCGAGCGATGCTGCTCTTGGGCTTCTGTTGGGTGTCTCAGGGGACGCCCTGAGGGCTCGAAGCATCAGCCGAAGAGAACCCTTCGGCCGAAGCTGAAGGAGTTTAGGTCTGGTTTAAAGCTTCAGGGTTTTTGGGTTTAAAATTTGGGGTCTAGGATCTAGGATTTAGGATTGAAGCCCTGAAGTGACCACCCCCCCGTCCTGCGCTTCAGGGTCTAGGCGTAGAGATCCCCAAAGTCGACTGTCCATATAGCGTGCATGCAACACTCCCTCATTGAAGCCCTAAACTCAGCCGACCCTCGTTGACCCCTAAACCCTAAAGCCTAAAATCTGGAGCCGGAACCGAAGGGTACCCAGAGGGTCAGATGCCCCAATATCAATATGCCTTACGTCATAGAACGTAGGGATCCGAAGTCTGGTCTTAAGGTATAGTCTTGATTTCAACAATATAACCGTGACTCAGGTAACTCTTTAGTTTGGTGTTCTTGGCTCTCAGGGCCCAGGTAACCCTAAGCCCAAAGTCCTAAACACAAACCCAAAAACCCAAAACCCAAAACTCTAAGCCCTAAAACCCTAAAACACCTAACTCTAGACCCTAACCCGTAACCTAAACCCTAAACCCTAAACTCTAAAACCCTGAACCCTAAACCTAAACCCTGAACCCTAAACCCTAAACCCTAAACCCTACATGATGGAAGGCTGCCGAGCGCTGCCACCTTCGGGTTCGCAGCAAGCTGGCGGAGGTCCCCCCGGCAAGAGAGATGCCAAAATTGGTTTAGGGTTAGGGTTTAGGGTTTAGGCTTGTTTCGGGTTTGGGGAGTTTGGGGTTCAGGGTTTCGGGTCTAGGGTCATCACAGCGCATGTTCTGAATTTCACCCTTAAAGGCTCTGAGCTTTCAGGGTTTTTTGGGTTTTAGGGTTTAGGGTTCAATAGGTATTCACGTTTCTTTTTAATTAAGGAACTTAAGCTAAGTTGCCAGAAGAGGACACAGGGTTTTTATTTTGCAGTAAAGCCCCATTCTGATACTTTTTTCAGCACTACTGGCTGTGTTTCCTGTGATGATGGATTGAAGGATTTATTTCAACATCCCCTTATTGCTAGGATGCCCAGTACTGCCCTTATTCCCTTTTTGGGAAGGTTTAGGGTCCCTTGTAAACCCCTTAAGCCAAAAAGGGCACCCTTTTTAATCCAGGTTACTGGACAGCCGAGATTGTGACAGCTTCATTCCATTTCTTTGAGGGAATCCAGCAACCCGAAAAACCCTCGGCTAGACCCAACACTAGACCTTCATTTGTTCATGCCACCCCTTCTAGCATGTTTAGGGTTTAGGGTTTAGGGTTTAGGGTTTTAGGGTTTAGGGTTTAGGGTTTAGGGGGGGCTACTGGAGTTGCAATAAGTAACCATCTAGTGGTTTTGGTTGCTATAGGGTGAAACCCCCGTGCCCAAGCTCACAAACCTGCCACGGACGTGCGCATCATGTTCGCTACCCAAAATGGACCCTGCTGCCCTAAACCCTTAAAACCCAAACCCCAAACCCCAAGCCCCAAGCCCCAAACCCCAAACCCCCAAATCCCAAACCCCAAACCCCAAACCCCAAACCCGAAACCCCAGTTAGCTTAGGGAACCTGCCACATGCTTCTCCTCAGTGGCTCCTGATGGCAGACACCGACTATGGCTTGGTACGAGGAGGTTCTGCGAATCGAGGAGGCATGGGGGTTTGGGGTTTAGAGCAATGTGGCGGTTTACGAAATTTGGGGGCGGGGGGGGGGGGGGGGTACCTTATTGGGGTCTTTATTACCAGGGGATCCTACTATTTGGGGGTCTATATTAGGGTCCCTTATTCTCGTAAACCCCCATGAAGCGCCTTAGGGGTTTAGGGCCGCCGTTGCTTTGGGAGGGGAAGATGATGGATGGCGTTGTAAGAGATCGGTGCCCGCAGGGTGTAGCATTTCCGGGGTTTAGGGGCTGTGGCTTGCGGCTTTAGGGGTTCCCGCTTGGCAGCGTTCAGGCTTCAAAGTTCTGCCTACATTACATCAGCAGAGGGAAATGGGAGTTGAGGGAATCCCAACCTTATACCCGAAGTTTTCATCTCTCGGTGGCTGCGGCTAGCATGCCCCCAGTGGTATGCTGCTCGGGGCTTCAGGTTTTGTGCATTTGCAGTCTGAGCATGAACCTCAACGGACCCGACGACACTCGTCGGCGTCCCCCCCCCACCCACCCCCCCCACCCCCCCCCCACCACCCCACCCCCACCCCACCCCCCCCCCCCCCCCACCCCCCCCCCCCACCCCCCCCCCCCACACCCCCCCCAACACCCTTGATCCTTAATCTTGTTCGCACCGTGCTGCAACCAGCAGCGCGAAAAGAAGCACATGACTGTTGCGGAATCGCGCTTCTCCACCTCGGTATATGCATTGCTCAAGGAGCGCAACGCCCAGCTCAAAGCGAAAGAGCTGCTCGACCCGGATGAGTCAGAGGAGGAGGAGGACCCGTTGCAGTACTTCCTGGGGCTTCAGCCAGGGCAGTAGACCTTAAGAGTGTGGACGTTCTTGCAGCAGACGTAAAGAGTGTGGACGTTCTTGAACCTTAAGCCCTAAGCCCTAAGCCCTTGCAGGCGCTGTGTGTCTAGCTGCCGGGGCAGGGAAGGGTTGGGGTGTAAGGTGCAAAGTGCCATGTGTGGATGGCTCTTAGATACTGTGCATAAACTACTAGTTGCTGAAGAAGCCCCCCCCCCCCACACCCCCCCCCCCGTCCCCACCCCCCGCCAGAAGCAAACACATAAAAGATACTATTCCCTGTGTTGCCCTTGTAAGAAAGAGTATTGTGCAGTTTTTGGGGGGCTTCTTCAGCAAATAGTAGCAAAGGGACGCCTTATCAAGAAATTCAGCAACAGGAGGCAGTCCAGGCTTGAGTGCAACATTGGAGGCATGTGCTTCCAGACGTGGGCAAGAGCTAAGGAGCCTGGAAAAGCAACCCTAAACTCGAAACCCCAACCCTGAACTTAGGGGCCGAGCAGGGATCACGAATACACAATGGTCACTCCTCTTAGATGTGGTCCCTTTTAAAGTCCTCATAACATGGCGGGCCCGATGATTTGCAATGCCCCAAAAAAGGGGGCCATATTTTTGAGAGCTGAGCACACATCGCACTTTGGGTATGAAACCCTCCTTAGCCTTAACCAAGTGCAGACCAAAGCCACACTCCGAAGTCTGTCCCCAAAGGCCCTAAGGTTGGAGTTCATCACCGACCCGCTGGGGTTTCAGGGTTCAGGGTTTAGGTTTTAAGGTCGTTGTGTGACGGTGTGATTCGTGGTGTTTATTTGGAGGTTCATGGGTACTTAGAACACCAAGTATCACCGCACTGCGAAGCCCCCTACGTCCCCGAAGTAGGTGACGCGCACACTTATGATTGGGGTTTTAAGTACCCATGAACCCTTGGAGGCTTGCAGACTAGTCCCAAACTGCCCTGTGCCAGCGTTGACAAGCGCCACCCCGCCTCGAGTCAGGTAGGCCCGGATACTTGCAGGTTCATGGGTACTTATAACCACAGTTATAAGTCTACTTATAACCTACTGAGGGGACTTAGAGGGCTTATAAGTCGAGTTATAGAATGGGTTCTAAGTACCCTGAACCCCGAGGTAGGTACTAAACAAACCCTAAACCCTCAACCCTAAACCCTAAACCCTAAAGCCTAAACCCTAAACCCTAATTGCGCGAGCACAGTTGCAGGAGCCGGAGGACTGAGTTGTCACGACGCCGAGGTGTGAAAACCTACTCGTGCACAAACACGGGCAGACCGAAAACCCTAAACCCTAAACCCTAAACCCTGCGTAGGGTTGAAGACCACGCAAGCCCTTACCCTCGAAATGCTTGGCAACGACCAGAGCAGCAACAAATCGATAAGTCGCAGCTTCGCAAGCACGTCTCACCGTATCACCAATTACGCGTGGGTACGTGCTGGACTGAGGGTCTCGGTATGATCTCCTGCGTCGAAGGTAAGCAAATCTTGAGGCTTCTTTGGGGCTTAGGATCTAGGCCCGCAGATTCTACCTGCAACTCTAGTTGCCTGCACTATACGTAGGTTGGGAAACTGCAGGGAACTCAAGTGCCGGCATAAGGAAATCAGTCTGGGCGCCAGAAAACCCTAAGCCCTGAACCCCAATCCTAAACCCTAAACCCTAAACCTTATAAACCCTAAGCCCTATGCCCTAAGCCCTGAACCCCAATCCTAAACCCTGAAACCCTCTGGCACGGATCCGCATCTTGCCAGCGGCACCTTCCAAGAAGTGCGCCTTGAGCTGGCTGTTCAAAAAGTTTAGTGTTTAGGGTTAATCGTTTAGGGTTTAGGGTTTAGGGTTTAGGGTCTAGGGTCTAGGGTTTAGGGTTTAGGGTGGTTTCGGGCTGAGGGTTCAGGGTTTTTAGGCTTCAGAGGCTTTGTAGGGGTTCGCGTTTTATAGAGTTATCGGGTTTAGAGAGGTGTATAGGGTTTGTAGGATTTATGGAGTTGTATAGGATTTTGTAAGGTTCATAGGGTGGGTTTGGGATTTCTGGATTAAATGCGTATGGGGTGGTGGGTTGGGTGGGGGGGGGTCCGGGCTTTAAGGCCTTCGGTGTTGATTTCTTAAGGTTCTTTTGAGGGGCTGCGGGGCTTCGGAGTTTGCAGTTTAAGGTCTTAAGGTTTGGAGGTTTAAAAGGTTAGGGCTCTCAGGGGTCATGGGTGTGGTTTGGGGTTTAGGGCTAGGGTTTAGGGTTTAGGGTTTAGGGTTTAGGGTTTAGGGTTTAGGGTTTAGGGTTTAGGGCCCTAATAGGGCCCTAAAAACCCTAAACCTAAACCCTAAACAGACGCACTTGCCCGCAAACAGGCACGACATACAAACTCCCGTAGGCGACTCTACGCCGATGGTCTGGGTAGTGCGGACTCTTGGGGGGATAGGGAGTACCCTCTTTCAACCCCAAGCCCTAAACCCTAAACTCCCCTAGCTTCGGTTGGTGTCTAACGAACCACGGTGTGCAGCTTCTGAAAAACCGAAGTGCGGATTCCGGGTTAGGTTCTTAGGGCCTGAAGCCTGCACAACCCCAAAGATCAGGGCTTCGGGCTCTATCTGTAGGACTACTCATGATCGAACTCGTTGGGCTGCCGAAACAATCTCGGCGTTCACAACCCTAACCCCAAAACCCGGAACACCAATCACCAGGACCCGGCCCTTATCCTCCCTTTTCTTAGTGTTCAGTTTCCCTTCCACAAGCCCCTTTCTTAAGCGAAAAGGGTGAGTTTTTTTCCTAGGCAACGCTTGGGTCTAGATCAGCTTCTGCACCGCCGCAGCCTGTAGGATCAGGGCGGACAAGTTAAAAGTAGTTGCCTCCTCACCGTCTCCGCGGTCCCCCCTTCAAGATGATGAGCTTTGAGTCAGCGCTGGGGGCCTCGGCACGCTAGGGTTTAGGGTTTAGGGTTTAGAGTTTAGGGTTTAGGGTTTAGGGTTTAGGGTTTAGGGTTTACTAGGGGGTCAAAATGTCAAACTTCCTAAGCCCTGAACCTTAATCCCCACGTATTAAATGCATCAAACCCTATATACGGTCGGGTATGCCGTTCGGGATCGGTTGGGCCCTCGACGACTCTTGCATAAATGCCTGTAGGCCCTAAACCCGAAACCCAGATTGGCAGATACCCTGGGGGCGTTGAGAAAATGCCCGGGGTTTACCTTTTTGGGGGGTCCCTTGAAGGGGATTCTCTTCTGTTGGGGGTATAAAAGGGGTACCCCTATTTGGGGAAATGCCCACATCCCCTGCAAACCACGAAATATCAACCTACCCTGCAAACCACGAAACATCAACCTACCCTAAACCCTAAACCCTAAACCCTATACCCTATACCCTATACCCTAGAAACCCTAAACCCTTAGGGCTTGGATGGAGGCCTGGAGGCTGGAGGCCCGCAACCGGATGGAATCTCTTGGAGGGAAGGCAAGCGTTGGCTCACGCCACAATACATGTTCCTCGGTTTAGGCTTTAGGGTTTTGGGTTTAGGGTGCTTGACACACCCTAACCCCAAGACCCTAATCTCCCCAAACTTCCTAAACTCTCTAAACTCCCTGAACATCAGACCCTGAACTCCCCAAATTCCCTAAACTCCCTGAACCCTTTTCCCTAAACTCTAAACTCGAAACCCTAAACCCTAAACCCGTGTAACCCGTCCCAAGTTGGAAGTCCGAGTCATTCAGAGGCTGCTGCACCAGACTATGACACAGGCCCAGGCCACCGTGGGGAGGGCTTGGGGTTGCCCTGACATCCCTTTAATAAGATTATAGGGTTTGGGGTTTGGGGTTGAGGGTTTCGGGAGTAGGGTTTAGGGTTTAGGGTTTAGGGTTTAGGGTTCCGGTGTAGTCCTAGAGTTTTTCAGCTTCGCATCCGAAAGTCCTACGCCCGAAGCACTGCGCAGAAGCGTGTTTAGGCTCACAAAAATGTGCAGGGGCAATGAAGGATGGGGGGGGTCTCTACAACATGAGCATCCCACAAAGCCCCCTGAACATTGAAGCCTGAACCTCTTAGGGTTTGAGAGTTGAGAGTTTTGGGGAGGTGCAAAGATGACAACCCCCTTAAACTTGTTGCGCTGAAACAATCTCCTTGCGGAACGAAGCTTGACCTTCGGTTGAGGCCGCTGGCGTCGAGTTCAGATTCTATCGGGTGTCTGCGGCTTCTAGGGGTTTGTGGGTCAACAGCCTTCATAGGGTCGAAGGGTTTACTTATTTGGGGTTTACCTATAAGGCCCATGAAGCCTACACCCTGCAGACCTTAACCCGCTACGAATCCCTTAGCCCCTGTGAACCCGAAGCTCGAAACTCCGTTATCCTTAAACCCTAAACCCTAAACCCGAAACCCCAAAAACCCGAAACCTGGAAACCTAAACTGCTACCCGAAGCCGCTACAAGCTCCCAAGCCTCGCAGGTGGCTGCCACGCTTGCAAATGCTGAAGAGTCTGGGCCTTGAGCTTTGTGGTACTTTACTGTAACTTTAGATCCTTTGCCTTTTTGGGTTTATTGGGTTTCTTAATAAGGCAGCTAGTTTTTTGTTTAGCTACCCTTCTGAGTGTAGCCAAGTGAGGGACTTCTCTCTGATGCTCTTAGAGGGTTTACGAAGCTCGGGAGGCCTTTTGGGATATTTGACTTTATAGCCTTATCAGGCTTAAGAGGTCTACATGTAGGGTTCGTTTTCAGAGGGTTTTAAGGGCCATCCTGTAAGGTTTGCCAGGGTTCATGTAGGGATTATAGTTTTTTTTTTGGGGTTTAGGGAAACAAGGGCTTGGGGTTTGGGGGCGTCTCGCCGAGCATGCGGGGGAGGACTGACACGCAAAAGCCTGCGATGCAGGCAGCCAAGCGGGAAGCGCAACAGGAATCCATCGACCCTGTTAAGGGTTCAGGACCCCAAGTTACCCTAAGCCCTAAACCGTAAACCCTAAACCCTAAACCCTAAACCCTACTAGGAAGGGCTTGGTGGGTGGGGGGGGTGCGGGGGGGGGGGGGGGGGTCCTAGAC